TGCAGTTGCGATGACACTGATGCTAAAGTGAATTCTAATGTAGACTCAGGCGTTTTTCCGAGCCCAGATCAGCTATGGGGTATGCTCGGTACCATGCTTGCCACGGTGCTATGTTGGCTTATTTATTTGAAGGTAAACGTATAATTATGCCCTATAACGCAAATATGTTAACTCTTGTTGCACATTACTGTAAGGGCGCTTTCAAATTAGACGCTTATAGAAGCAGTCACGCCACTACTAATTTTTATACAATGTTTAGAAGCGCCGTTGCAGCGCCACTGTCGTGACATGCGCGCGCCCCTTACAGTCACAAATGAGTGAACTAAAGATTACTGAAATTCTACATGCGCGGCTGCCGGGCCATTTACGGCGCTTGTACATGCGTCTAATTTTAATTTGCGCTTCGCGCAAACGCGCCATGGCAAGGGAGCTGCCTGAACGCGCCCGTTCCGCCACCGGCGGCGCGGCGCCGGTCTGTAACTTTGAGGTCAGAAAAAGCTTTAAGTCAATATAATAAGAGTAAAAAAAACTTCTTTTTTCTTATTACATGGACATAAAACTTATTTCTGACCGGCTCAAATCCATTAATAAGTGTGATGATTCTTTAATAGAATATTTTAAAAATGTTGGGCCGAGCAGGAGATCGAAGGGCTGGCAACTAGCTACCTTGCTCAAAATATTAGCATAGCCATACAAGTTTCGTTCATGTCATGTTATCGTAGCCCTTATATTAATATTATATGTATAATAGCCCTTTATAGTATCTTGTAAGTAATCAATTTTATTATTAATTATATGATTCGTAACAAAAAGTTATTGATACAAAGCTCCAACAATTACAAAGAAAAATTATATTATATAAATAGGTATAACTATGTAATAAAAAGTATTACATAGTTATACCTATTACTTAGTTTCTTAAAAAGTGATTGACCCTACTTTAACTTACATCAAAGTCGACTTATTATTTAAAATAAACGTAAAACCCCATTTATTACGAATTCATTGCCTAACATCTTGCAGTTCACTGAGCTGCTGTAGCTGTTTTAACTGGAATTTTGTCTCTAAATCTAGGGAAATAATGGTGAATCAGAAATTTTCGGAGGGTTAGGACCAGTGCAAACCGGCGGACAGCGGGGGAGAGCATGGAAGAGGGTTTGCCCACTAGCGCACATTGATGAGGATATTACGATACTGCGAGTGTCCACTAGTGTACTGCAGAGTCCGTCGACTTTGAATCCGTTCCACTAGCGACCACGCAGTCGAAAAGTCCCCGGCGCTCTTCGATACCGCAGAGAGAAAAACGCTGCAATACTCCGAAGTCGGTCTCAGAGCAATGAAATTCATACTTCATTTCAATATCTATAGCTGTGCCTTCCCGTCCACCGGTTTGCGCTGGCCCTAAATTTTTGGTGTTCATAATAAACAAGAATTTAACCCGACCTTATTAAGTAACGAAATACCTAATGTGAAGCAGTTGGTAATAATTATTTATCTCCTAAAACAATATAATGGAAAATGCTGGGGCCGCACTACGTATATCGTCACGAATATAATTATTATCTTTCATATATTTGCTCGCTAAAAAGTTATCGCGCTTTCGGTAACTATAAGGTTTCGTAATTTGAAACGAATTATCGTATGATAATCAAAGATGGCCGCAATACAAATTTCAGACGCATTGGGAAGATAACATTGTTCAAGCTTTCTACACGCCGAGCCCATCGACCCGACGACACAGCCCGTGTTGGTGTCGGCGGCCTTGTTTCTAGAATCATGTCATAGGATTAGATTAGAAATAAGGCCGCAGACACCAACCCGTCGCCGGGTCGTGGGCTCGGTGTGTAGAGAGCTTTACTTCTCATGTGTGCTAGCAATAACTTTTATATGGTAGACATTCTTTGGAGCTAATTTGATTGGCTCAGCTTCAAAATTATGTAGAAACTTCAACACCGTTTCGTCGTTCCACAACATTAGAGACGTCTAATCGGTACGAGAACAATAACGGTCGAAACAAACAATGCTAATCCGACCACGCAGCACAATGTTTAACGTCCTGAAGCTCTTTGGGCTCATTCAGAGTGAGAGGCGGGCGCAGCGGCGGGTGCGGGCGCGCGGGTCTTGGCGTTTTCCCTTTCAGTGCGTGCGTGCATCGTATCCTTGTGCGAAGCTTCGTGATGATAGACGCAAGTACGGCCCCAGCATTCGAAAAAATAACGAATTAAGACCGTAGATATTTCTTTATAGATCAAGTCTAAAAAATGGTCATTGTATTTCATTAGTTTGTAGCATAGTAGAAGAAAATCGAACCTCATTTGTAAGGAGTGCTTGCTAAACTACTCTCTTAACGGTTTTTAAAAATTACAGATAAAGTTTCCTGGTAAAAGGCTACGTGCACCAGTGCCTCCTTCATACCACCTTCAACCAGAACATACGTCGCGACACAGATACCACAAATGAATATTTTTTGGAAATAAAACGTAAACAACTGTGTATTAAAAACTTTAATAATCTTTTATTACTATAAGTCCAATAAAAATCAGTGACGCGAAGAAACGCATTATACCTTACATCTAATATGGCCAATTTTATAAACTATAAAAATATTAAAAAATATAAAAACAAAATTTCATAATTTTTTTCCAAATTTTGTATAAGTACCCATAATAAAACTATTCCAAAACTAATAATGGACATCTCAAAGTACTATATAAAAAATAAATCTTTTTGGACTAAAGTCGTGACTACATTTTATCCATCACCATTTTATAACAAGCAAAAATAGGAAACTTAAAAAATAGGAATGCGCAACGATCAAGTCTCTTCTTAACTCTAAATGTCTGCTACCATTTACGGTGGGCGAAATGTTTAATAATATCTAAATTATTTAAAGAATCTTGAACCTTTCGCTATTATAATTAATTCATAATTCATATAAAATAAAAAGGGACAATACAAACATTGTTAACAAATTATTAGTCAGTGGTTTTCCTTATTTAGAAAAAACGACAGTCCACGACGTTTTATTGTCAAGGCCGCATTGCAGCAATATACTATCCCATAGCATATAGCAGTCTGGGCCCTGTTTGACCGTATAGACCGTCGCGCGTTTCAGTGTGGCAGGGTTCATAAGAACTCGTACATTCAACGCTTCCGCGGCCGCCTCTTTGTGGAACGAGCATAAACGCCCAATATGCATGAAAATGTACTACTTAAATATATTTACACTCTTCAGGCCGAAGCAAATATACTCTCAGTTTTGTATGAAAAACCTATTTTTTAGATACCCTATGGCCATATAGAGTATATATATCGTCGGTGTTTTGTAGAAAGAGCGTAAGTGACATTTCGTAATTTTTTTTTCAGGATAGAAAAACTGTTTTAGAAAAGAGACTATTTTAAAATATTTAAAAATTCAATTTTGGTTTAAATAAGTTCGATTCCAGATAGGATCAATGTGGAAAATGATGTTCTCTAAATTTATTCTGGCATTGTTGTTCATTTTAATTACGTTACCCTGTTATTGTATAGAGAATTCTTTAGTTTAAGAGCAGGTTGGTGTTTGTCTTGCTTTAAGTTTTAACTGCCTCTGTGGCCAAACGGTTACTATCTTGCTCTGACTGCCACGCAGAGGTCCCAGGTGCAATTCCCGGGCCGGGAGAAATATTTGTATGGCCTACATTTATATTTCTGTGTGTTTGGGTGTAATTTGTAGCTGTCAATGTGTGTGTCCATGGCATGAAACCCTATGGTCTATGTTGAGTGTGTACGTTATTATTATTATTATAAACTCTAAAATTCTAAAGAATTTCATTTTAAAACAGGACGTAATTATTTTAAAACGGCCGTAAAAACCTAAAACATGCTCACCTGAAAAATCCACGAAATGCATGAAATATGTAATATAATCCATGAAATATCGCCTATACCCTTTTTACAAAACACCAACGATATAACGCTAAATTTAAATGCGATGATGTTTATAATGTACACTAGACGTGATCATACTAATAACTAGGTCTGGGTCTAGGCAAGGGCCCTTGGGAGATTACTATGGTGATAATTACAGGTTTCGTACGACGTTACGATAGGTAAGAAATCTGTAAGTATTAAGAATTTATTGAATAACCACTAAAATATGTATGTATTTTACAATGGTGTTTTTCAAATGACGGAAAAACGTAATCGCCGACTGGACGAGCACTAAAATATAGAAACCACCAAAACAGTTTTCTGACACCAAATGTACGAAAAGATGAAGAAAGCCCTCAATAAACTCAGGCTTTTAATAATATCATACTAAACAAAAACAATATTCAATAATGCATAAAAGTTATTTTATGCTTAAATTCGCTTAATGTACTGAACAAGGCCTGCAAATAAATTACGCTCTTATGCGGAGTTATTAATACGAACAACCTCACAGGACTGTTACTAACATCATAACAATGACTTTAGTTCCATGACTAATAATTCATCAGATTTTACTTTCGAATAAAAATGTTTAAATCGATCGCCCTAAACGGTGATAACTCTGTGCGGTAGCAAAAGAAAGCGCTAGCGTAAGCGCCCAGTTACACGAGGCGAAAGATTTAGCGCAGCCGCCGCACAGCGACCGCCCAGTTACTACGCCTTCATGTACATTAATGGCGAATCTGAATTCTATTTACTAGGCAACAACATTTAAATTCCTTTGAATAATACAATCGCGCGCCGCGCGGGCCGCTGCGTAGACCAACTTCAAGCCAGCCTCGCCCGCGTGCACGAGACGCTTATTTAAGTTAAAACGTAAAAGCTAAATAAATAGAGCGTATTTTGCAATGACAGTTGGATGCGCAAGGTGAGCGCGATGAAATTCGTGTCGAATAAATGCGCCCTGAATACCAGTCTGATGCAAAACGCAGGAGCAGGGGCGGTCATTGGGAAGACGCTAGCTCGTTTGATACAGATCTAAAAAGTGTCAGATAGTACAATAAAAACTTCAAAATTTATTTTTGGTAAATTTACGTGTTTTGTAAAAAGGCTTAGGACAAAAGTTGTTGTTCATGATGTTAGTAATTTAGTCCAGAGAGGTTGTTAGCTTTTGACAAATAACCCTGTATATACATGCGAAAATATATTTAGATCGTATGTTTTATTTTTACAATTTACAATACGGTTTTGTATGTTGAGTGAATGATTATGAAAAAATATGGCCTTGTTCATTTAACCTAAATAACAATCATATTTTCTCAGTCAATTTTTTTTTAAATTAGTGTATTGCGTTCATCGAGATTGTGTCCCACTGTCCCACTGAAAATGGTTATTAAAATATGAATATGGCGGCCTTTAGTCTTTTCATTTACTATCTCTAGATTAATCTTAATTTGCTATACTAATATTAGCACTTGTTTGCTTTAACTGGCATCATCCCATGATATAGAATTAAATAGTTCGGTACTGTTTTCTTCTTATAAGCAGGGTTCCCAAGATTTTTTTTGTAATTATGATGATAATTATCCGATATAAGTCTCATAATTATCCGATATAAGTCTGATAATTATTCATACAGATTCAGTTTTTATAATTTTCTAGTAAAAATGACAAATAATGAGAAAACTAAATAAACACGAAGAAAAATCTTCAGGAGAAGGATTTGGTTTGTGATTTTTATCAGATTGATAAGTTTTGATACGTCCCTGATACAAACACATGACACGACATTGCTAGCGGTAGCATTTCGTTGTTCCAATTAATTTTATAATATCGAAATTATTATCGTGATAATTATCATGATTATTATCATTGATAATTATCATTTCGAACCCTGATTATAAGTAAATTTTGTAAATTAATTGTAGCTATAGGTAGTCTTTTATAAAGTTATGTTAATGTACACGTAGTACTTCAGTTCAATGATTGAGCGAACTTAACTTTTTGACGACCTCGGAGCGCGGCTGTGGTGGCAAACAAAATTTTCTAAATTGGATCAGGTCTGGCTGTTCTGGGTAGAATTTCAACTTTTTATCAACTTCATTACTATGATACTCACAGTACAGGGACATCCCTGACTTGAGACAAGGTACTTGGTGTGATTGACTGGCACCTGATTAGAAAAGATACATTATACTTAATAAGTACTATTTAAGTAATAAGTAGTATCCTTAGCCAAAAATTTGCAGTCTTGAAGCGTGTACTTATGTTCGTCTTCCACATGGCCTCTTTTGAGTAGATACACCAGTATGTACTGGTACGGGAAGACCGGTACGTTGTGTCGAGCGAAAAAACGGAGTTTCACTCGTTCTATCACTTTCATATCGACGAAGCAGTAGTCCGCCGAGCAACAGCTGCCTGGTGTTCTGAAACAAAAAATATACTCGAACGAATGAATGAAACATTCTTCATTGCAAATTAAATAATTACAATGATAACATAGAACAGTAATGTAAGAATCACAGAACAAACTAATGTACAACAGAAGGCCTTATCGCTAAGTAGTAGTTTCTTCCAGGCAACCTTAAAGTAGAAATTAAATATAAGCCAATCACGTGCACCTTCGGTCAAGAATATCCATCGCGGATCCCTTCATTAAAAAAAAAGTAAATTTAATAAAAGTGCGATTGAATTATTTCTATAGTGTTGAGGCGAGGTGCTATAATAACGCTTTACCAAGTAAACCTATATGAAGTTTTATTTACCTCGGATCATAAGTAACAGTTTTCGCCTTCAGAGTCTTGAATATCATTTGATAGTATTGGCGGTACTTTTTCTTCATAATGAGCACAATTTGCTTGCCTTCAAAGGGGTATCTAGAACTAACAGATTCAAGTTCCAAATGCCAGTATACTGCGGCTTTTGCGACTTCCACACTCGTGTGATCGATTTCAATTATTTTCGGGTGTTTCATCCATTCGTACATGTCTTCCTGGATTAACATATAAAATACGCAAAAATTGAATATAAAAAATGGTAGTAATAAAAGCTCTGAAATGTAAATTAAAAATGAGCTCATTCATGTCATGAATGTTACTGCATTATTTACTAAACTACCGAAAACTTTTGTGCAAACAAAGAATGAAATACTGAAAATTCTAGCTGACGTAATACTACTCTACCCACGTAATTATATTTTACTAAAAAATATTGAATTTTTATCTATAATGAGAATTTTTATCTATAATGATACATTTCATAAATATCGAACACACAGAAACATTTTTCGTCGACCCAGTGGGAGACATGAACCCACATCCATGCTGCACCGTAGCATTGTGCTAACCATCTGAGCCACTGGTCCAGTTACCGAGTCGTCGAAATTCACTTGTGTTTTTATTATAGATCTTTGTACTGACTTTTCGGCATCGTCGCCGCTAACGAGAGATTTTTGAATAACCTTTTCACCGCAACCGATACCTTTACAGGTATCACAACTGACGCAGTTGTCGCTTTTCGATCAAATGGATTTATGGAGATGTTTAGTGAAATAATTATACTAGTTTTGTTAGGATTATTAAAACAAAGATCGAATCCAGAGAAAGTTTTTTTTTTGTACCACCGGATCGACGAAGATTTTTCGATCGAAAAGATTTTTGTATTCATAACAATACATGAATTTTATGGTAGTAAAAACATCATGATGTTCAATAAAATAAATATTAACATAGTTATTTTTACCCAAACATTATTAACCCTCTAATAATTATTCTTCACTAACCGCTAACCGTTTTGTCGTTGTACTTACACGTAAAAACTTCTTGCATCTAAAACTGTCATACACGAAGCTGACATGTAGCAGCCATTTGCCAGTTGCCAGGGCGCACACCATCATGCCGGTGAAAGTGTCGCTCGGTAGCACAGATATGAAGTGTGTTGCCAGCATTTCCATTTTTGTATTTTCCGCTACTACGCCGCCGAGCTCGTTGATCATTGATGCTATGCGATCACGGTCCTGAAAACAATACATTTCACACTTATCAAAAATTAAATATTAATTAATAATTCCTTATTTCGGACTATAAAATATCCACTATACGTTAGTTAAAGAACCTAAAACAAGGTTAATATTTTCATACAATATTTAGAAACGCAGTTGCAGCGCCACTGTCGCGTATCAATGCGCGCGCCATTTCTGCAGTCACAATCGGTGAACTAAAAATTACTGAAGCGCTACAGACGCGAGGCTGCGAACCAATGTCGGTTCTACAAGCGTCCAATTTGAAGGCACCCTTACGCCTCGGCCACGAAAGTAACGCCACGCTTGAAGCGTCAAAATACACCCACTAAGTTTGGTAATTCGACGCTTACAGGGTCTTCGGTGGTGGGGGAAGTCAAGTAGAATTCTTTTTACGAATCAAATAGTTCATAATGTTTAATATTTTTGGTGGAATATACTTTAGATATGTATTAAGAATAATAATGCAAATTAATAATCATTTGCTTTCAGTAGTAACCAAATAACAAATAAAAACAAAATAATTTTTTTCAAACGCCGACGCGCGGAGCGACAGTTTCGTGCACACGATGGAACTTTCTCGTATAATCGTTTCTGGTCAACTCAGGTCAAAAAGGTACAAATTCTCTCACTATTCAGATACTATTGTAGAATTCCATCGACAAAAAGAAAATAAAACAAAAAACAAAGTGAACAACAGAGAAAAAAAACTTTATCACAGTTAGTTTTTTCACAAATTTATTTTTAGTTTAATTATTATTACGTTTTTTTTTAATAATAACAACATACACACTCAACATAGCCCCGCACTAGGGAAATCATGTGTCGCGGGTGCCATGGACACACATATAGACAACCACAAATTACACCCAAACTCACGAGAGAAACAAATGTAGGTCATACAAATACTTTTCTCGGCCCGGGAATCGAACCTGGGACCTCTGCGTGGCAGTCCGGCAAGGTAACCGTTCGGCCACAGAGGCAGTTTAAGCTGATGCTTGTTTAAGCTGATGGCTCTACAGCCAATGCTCAACAAATAAATAAATAAATAGTGAACAACAGATACATGTTAAACTTGCTGATTTACATGTTAAACTTGCTGATTGAGTATTAACTTTTATGTATTCCACATGGCGTAGGGTTTGCAAGACTGAAAATACGCAAAAGACAAAAAATAAGTAATTATCAAAAAAATAGGCACAATGATCTTAGGTATGTAAAATGTTGGTCCTCGTTTAAAATAAATAAATAGGCTAGTTTTCTTTAAAGTGCTCTTTATGGCTATTAGAGTTAAACTGCCTCCGTGGCCGAACGGTTACCATGCCGGACTGCCACGCAGAGGGTCCCAGGTTCGATTCCCGGGCCGGGAGAAATATTTGTATGGCCTACATTTATTTCTCTCGTGAGTTTGGGTGTAATTTGTGGTTGTCTATGTGTGTGTCCATGGCACCCGCGACACAGGGTTTCCCTAGTGCGGGGCTATGTTGAGTGTGAGCGTTATTATTATTATTATTATTATTAGTTATTAAGAGTCCTGTCAAATCGAAACCATTTTTCTGTGTTCTCTTTGTATTAATAATTATAACAAACTAGTGAAGTAGTAAAACATAATATTCATTACAATCAAATACTCTTTAAGATTCCTTCAGAATCCTCTAATTCGGTAAAAGGTTTTATTTATACGCACGTGTATGAATTCAGAAAGCATAAAAACTTTCTTGTCGCACGCACATATCAGGTTCTGTTTCAGCTTCCATGACTCTTCGGAAGTACCACTCGGGGAGTGGTAGTCGCTGTCTGTATTAGAAAAGTAATATAGATAAATAATAAATACAATGTTAGATAAATAATAATCAGAGAACGCAAAAGGCATAGTAAACTAAACGACAAGTTATATACATAGAGTGAATGATACCTACTTGATCCCGGAATTGTTGAAAACAAAATGTAAAAAATCAAAACAAAAAATAGTTCAAATTTTTATTTACAACTACAAAAGTTCTCTTGACAATAAACTACCATAGTAAAGTAACTGTTAGTTATACTATAGAAATATAGTACAAAATATAATAACTGAAGAGGGAGATTAATACTCTTGGGCAAGCATGTGCCCCAGAGAGTTAAAGCTAAGAAAGTAATAGCTTTTTTTTAATAAATAATTATAAATTAAATTACCCGTAGGCAAATAAGACATATAGCCGAGGACAGTGCAATTACGAGTAACTAGCATACATTATGAAATTGCCATTTCGGTAAGTTAGTGGCCAAACTAAATCCACGTAAACGTCGTGGCAACCAAATAAGCCTGATTTACTGAAATCTATTGTTATCAGTCCGTAAATAACATAAATTAATGCTTACTGTGCAAAAATGAAAGTCGCAACCATTGAAATAACAAAGAAATAACGTTTAAACGTTCTCCTTTAAAATATGATCCCGTGAAGATACGCGCCTTTTACCCGTTCATTGCCCGTGGTCCAACTGCGTAGTCCAAGTAGTTATATATTGCAACGGGCAATATTGTATGGGCATTTGACCTACTGATCGGTTAGTACAGTCACCGCCAATATTAATAATGTTACTGGTTCTGAGCTAACTACAATTGTTCTCTAGGATGATGCCTGTGACAGTTCATAAAAAATCGCAAGATATATATATATAAATACGTGCACTGTAGACTTTTGTTATGTAGTGTATGTACACTGTAAGTTTCCGGAACTAGCCACTTAAAAATATTTGAAAAGTAATTACAACTTTTAAAAATGGAACACTTTGGCTGTAGAATACAGTTTGTTTCATCTGACTGTCACTTGTTTTTACATTGTATCGTCATTTTAGAAATTAGTTGTCTACATCACCATGAATTCCAATTCCATATTAACTCGTGAAAATTTTCGTAGTATGATTTTCTACAATTTTAAGTGTAATTTAACAGCTAATCGGAGCTTCGCTCGGCTTCAAACTGCTTTTGGCGATGAAGCACCATGCAAGACGAGTATTTATAGCTGGTTTGCATAAGTCAAAGGCGGTCCTGTGAATCTCAGTGATGAATTTCGTGATGGTCACCCGTCCACTGCTGTGAACAACAAAAACTTCGATGCTGTGCGCCGTATGATCAAAACAGACAGGCATGTGACATACGATGGGATTCGGGCATCTTTAGGCATAGGCATGAGTCAAATACAATCAATACTATACAAACATTTGGGTGTGAAATAGCTGTGCTCTCGGTGGATCCCACACAATTTGACTGAGGCTAAAAAACGGATCGCGTCACTTGGTGCAACGCCATGCTTACCAGATTCAACGACGGGCCGTCAAATTTGGTGTGAAACATAGTAACAGGTGACGAAACATGGATTTATAGTTACGATCCCAAAACAAAGCAGCAATCGAGCGTATGGGTCTTTCGAGATGAGCCGAAACTAACCAAAGTGGCGCGCGTGCAAAGTGCCTGTAAGCAGATGATGGCTTCTTTTTTTAATAAAACTGGACACGTGGCTACTGTTGCTTTGGAGGATCGTTATACCGTTAATAGTAATTGGTACACGACCATTTGTTTGCCGAAAGTTAATGACAAACTCCGTGAAAATAACGGTAAATGCCGTATCATCTTGCACCACGATAATCCCAGTTCTCGCAAGGCCAGACAGACATTTGTCTGAATTGATGATGAAAAAAAATTCATTTGAATTTTTGAAGGTGAACAACGTTGACCTTACGAGCCATCCCGCGTACAGTCCCGACTTTTTCGTATGAAAAAGTGCATTAACGCCAACGGAGAATATTTTGAGAAACAATAAATTCATTTCTGACCATTTATAGTATTTTTTTCTTATTCATTCCGGAAACTTACAGTGCGCTCCACGTATCTATTGATTCTGAGCACTTCACAAAGTTTTTAGAAGCCAAATTAAAACACATAATTAAAAACCAAAAAAGATCGCAAGTGTTGGTTAAGAACGACGAATTTATAATGGGAGTTCAGATTTCTGAGAAATTTCTGTGGCACACGTTGCTTTGGACAAACTGCGTTAAGCCAATCGGACACCATTTTTTTTTTTCAGAAGCGAGCATTCTTTTGATAAATTCACAAATTTTACTAGGTATCTATATTTTATAACAGTAACCCAAATAGTCTAGCTAGTGATCACAATGCATCATAAAAAGCCCTAATTGCTATAGTTTTAGCATAAAACATAATTATGTTTTAATTAACTGCCTCCGTGGCCAAACGGTTACCATGCCGGACTGCCACGCAGAGGTCGTAATCGTTTTATTTCATCCTAGACCGAGTTTGCAGGCCTGATCAGTCGCCATTCCAAAGTAGATATGACGTTGGGTTTTAAAGCCAGCTGCGACGCTTTTCACAGACTACACGCACCATATAAAATTTTCACTTAAAAGCGATACTTACAAAAATAATTCATAAAATACATTAAACAGTGCACGTTATTAAAAGATTATATCTTGCGATTTTTTATGAACTGTAACAGGGATCATCATAGAGAACAATTGTAGTTAGCTCAGAACCAGTAACATTATTAATATTGACGGTGACTGTACTAACCGATCAGTAGGTCCAATGCCCTTACAATATTACCCGTAGTCCAACTAGTTGTACTACGCAGTTGGATCACGGGCAATGAATGCTTTTACCAATGGTATATACGAGCCTTTGCACTATCCCCAACGGTATCACGTAATTATTTATGATAAACTAACCTGACACTGGTTCAGACATAACAGCCTGTATGTGACTTGTAACATGAGTCTTTCCTATAGGACTATAAGCAGTGACGTTTTTCTTCAGCTTATAGTTCTGTATGTACTTGCGGAAGGGCAGGTAGTTTGATGCTTTACTACTTTCAATCCATTTGCGAAAACTGACTTTCTTTGGAGTACTTTGTCTGCTGAATGACCTTGAAAGAAAGCAATATTAACAGCGTACCTAAGCAACTCGGCGTATTTTATACGCGCCGACGACGAAGTAAACGCGCGTTTTTGCACGTATACGCGCTGTAGTAAATCGATTTCAACGCGCGAAAACATCGCGTTGCAAGCAAGAAGCTCATATACTCCACTGGAGTTTACACTTAGAATTTCATGTAGTTACTTCATTTGAAAAAACTAGCTGAAATTAACAATGAAATCTAAATTAAAAACTATCTTTATTAAAATATCTTTTATAATATCTTTTATTAAAATGCGCGGCACATTCGCGCGTCGTCGGCGGTATAAAATACGGTTTAAGTAAGGTTTATAAAGGTCAATGAAAAAATCTGAATTCAAATAGGTATTGCTGATAGAAAATAATACATAGTATAAGAATATACATTTGGCATGAATGTAGATAAATTAAGGTATGCCTACTGATATTGAAAACGTTACAGTACTCCAAAAAAGCTTTTCTAGGAAGAGAAAGAGATAAATATTTTAAATGTTGATGGAAAGATGAAATTGAAATTTTATGCAGAATGTACAAAAGCAGTTTTATTTTACCAATTTATGGAAAGATTTATAGCCCCAGGCATGCCAACACTCAGTGTAACTCACTCATTCCCCAATTTGGAAAAAAATGTCTTAATTGGACTGGATGTTGGAGTCTGTTGTTCCTCAACTTTTTTGCACTCAATTTCTTGGTAAATATCTTCAATCGACCAACCTATTTGGCGGCGAACGGCTTTGGGACGTCGTGTTTTCTCCAGCATCGGAGCAAAGTCCACACAGTCCTCACCAGGATCAGAGAATTGATCCGAATCAGCTGTTGACTTGAAATGAGCACATTTCAAATGCTCTAAATAGGCCAACTTGTCTGTGTTAATATCATGACAGATTGGGCATACATAATGATGCAATTTTACATTTGTTGTGCATTTGTTCAAATGGATGACATAGTCATCATACCGGTCATACTTTTCATCGCAAAGGACACAGGACACTGAGAATGATTTATCGCTGAGGGGGGATGGTGGTTTAGGCGGAAGTTTGGGAGGAGTGAAATCAGCTGCTACAAGTGTCTCTGTGCTGGTAGATTGTTGTAACTGATTATTCTCAATAGTACATGTGACGTGGCAAGTATGTGCACCAAAGTTGCCATAAGACTGATTGCAGTAAACACATTTAATTGAATCTGCATCACTGTCAGTTTCGTCACTTATTTCATGGCTTGTTCCAATTTGATTTTGCTCTTCTACATTTGCAGCCCTTTCTGTGTTTTGTTCATTTTCACCTTGAGTGTTATCTTCAACATGCATGTGGAATTCTTGGTTAAGAAACACATTGTAGTCTGAAACTCCATCTGGTTGATCAAGTTGCACATCTGTAGTCAAGTAAAATCACTTGATATATGAATAAAATAAAGTTATCTCATTGATGGAGCTTAAAATTTTCCTGCCAAAAAAGAATTTGCAGGTCATAAATACAATTGCTAACAGTATGATTATAATACGTATTTATTTGCTTACTTTATTAAATTAACTTAACTAAACCTTTTGAGTTAGTGTAGCTATGTTATAGTGAATCAAATAAATATTAGTGGCAGTGTTAATAAGACTATGAATACTTGAAAGAAGTGTCTTCCCCTTAACTTCGTTAAGAAAGAAGATATCCATAATATTACCCTTAGAACTAAGCTAAACTCATGGTACCACATTTTCGTTTAACTCACGTAAATGATTCTTTTATGGGGAACTGTACAAGTTTTTACAATATGATTCCAGAGCATATATTAAGTTTACCATTTCCTAAGTTACAGTTTAGTTAAGTTAGTCAGTAAGTTAGTTCAGTTAAGTTTTTAATACTTACATTAAGAGTATTTTAATTGGAAAGTCATAATACAAAATTGTAGACTATAAAGATGTACAGAAAGACAATGTGAGTCTAGATTCCACACAAATATGATTCAAAATGTATTCTATAGCATTTAAGTTTATTTGAAAAGAGCAATCCCTAGAGTTTCTTGCTCATTCTTCTCAGGGAGGTCAGCGATGTGAACGAGTAGTAGCTTAAAAAATTATGTTTTCAACAGTCAAATTCTACCTATGGAATAAATGATTATTTAACTTTGATTTCACTAACTAATATTAAAAGATATTTTGTCAATAGACCATTTCTTATAAAGAAGTTACTTGTATATTATGTTAAATTAAAATTGCTTATTAGTCTTGTAAAATGGCTAGATTGTAACGTAACCTGTAAAGGGCCCGAAACGTCGGTTTGTTTGAAAAAACAAATATACGCGATTTAAATCCGGAAAAATAGTTTCATTTCCTATGTGTAACAAATCGCGAAAACCTAAGAACTCGATAGATTGTAATTAGTTAGGTTTTATTTTGCTTTGTAACAAATAAAAAAAACTTCTTTTAATGGTAAATGATGGATTCAATGGCTTCCAGTATATTAGGAATGGCTAGAAGTATTGAGAACATAGAAAATCTGAAAGAAATTCATGATGAGGCATTATCACTATTATTGCAGGTATTTTCAAATTTTAACAATGGTAATATGGGGTATAAATATGACCAACCGTTTTGAGCATGTTTGCTTCAGTCGAGCATCGAATTATCAATACCCTGAAAATGCCTCGTGGAGATGCGAAACACGTGTCAGATTTAGTTTTGGTGGTAGTATCTGTGACTGTAGTTGCAGTTGTGTTATTTAGTTTATGTGGAGGGAGGGGGGTAAAATTAACTGCATGAAAAAAATTATAATATTCAACACAACCATAGCCATTTGATTAAATATGATTTAAACTTCACTGGATTCACAGAGTAGCAAAGTAATTTACCTTAATTTTTATTTCAATGTTAAATATATCAAAGATGAGTCTTTGTTGTAATTAATAAGTAATTCTTAAATAAGTGTAAACCACAGTACATTAGCAATAGTACCCTGTTCTAAAATTGCTGTGTGATCGCAAGATAACTTTTATATAGTTGTAAAATTAGTTTTACAAACAAGAATCTTATTATTAACCAACTTCAGAAAAAGCTGATATACTAAACCATACAGTTCAACCAATTCAGTGGGTACTAAAAAGAAAATAAAAAGTCATTTCAGAATAAATTACAACCTGTGATTCCTATGTCATTTACCTTTTGTCATAAAAATCAGTACTATATAACACTGAACCATCAGAGAAACGCAAATAAAGGGTATGCAAAAGAGGTTTTAACCAATTTATGGCAGTAGAGTTATTTTAAATATAAACAACTTTGGTCACTGAAAGGAAGTGTTTACTATAGATAATAGACCCTTACGACCTTAAATGCTACTAAATCAACCTATTGTATCTAACTAGCCACAGATCTCTTCAAAGGCAACAGAGTATGTAATTATTAATACCTAGGACATGCATTTTATTATTAAGTATATTACCTGGAGATTTCCTTAGCATGTTGTTAATGCGCTCACATTGCAACTTAAACAAGTATGCAGTGCTCAAATTCTCAATACAAGATGAGCACACTCGGTCCGGCAAGCCGTCTCCTTCGTGAATCTGAACAAAAAGTTATTGACCAATGCGGACAAGGTGTACATCACATTCCTCGCAAATTTCACGTTAAAAACCGGTTTAAATTAAATTAATTTACTTTAAGCATAGAATTATACTTTGTATTAATCGTATTGTGACTAATGTTATTTATTATCGAAAATAGTTTAGCGAACTGCGCAAAAACTTACCTGAATATCAGTAAAAGACATAACCATATCAGAAAGTCTAATCGAATCATCCTGTTCAAATATGGAACAAAAATCACCGAGCTTTAAACACAATCTGCACTTTTGGAACTTTGAAGCCATTTTAGCTATTTAATTAACATAAAATTAATGAAAACATACACCACACGTCAACATTTGGTTATTTTTTGAAAGTTAACGAGCTTATTTTTGACAATTAGTTTTTGACGTTAAGTTTTTTTCCATCCTCTATGTTAAGACGTCAGTATTTTCATCCTTTTTTTTTTAGTAGATTTTTCCATTCGAAAAGGCAAAGGCATTATATATATATATACACTACTTTCAAATCGATGCTTTTTAACTTACCCCACCGACGATAACCGTCGTTTCCTGCGGGCTTTACAGAGGGACGTAAAGACGCGTATGGACGAGGTACGTCAAAGTCGATGGGAAAAGCTCCTAGAAGGGCTCGAGCCCACCCACCAAGGCAACTAACCCGTTCTCTCAAGTCCGGCACAGTTGGCCAAATGCCCCCCTTAACCAACCCAACCACACCCCAGCATTTGACGACGACGAAATAGACGAATACCTAGCCGACAGCCTCGAAGCCCAGTGCTCCCCCAGTCTAGAGCCGGTCGACCTGACCCATTTCCTCTAGGTGGACTTCAAGGTCGAACTCAGAGCAACCCTCCCGCCCTCCGACCCTCCCCTCCCCACGGTCACCCCAAAGGAAGTAGAATCGCTCATAAAGGACCTTAAGCCCCGCAAAGCCCCATGCCCTGACGGTATCTCCAAAAAGCTGCTTAAACAGCTTTCTGCACCCCTCATCTGTCTCCTGACTGAAATTTTTAACGCCGCTCTGACCAACTGCATCTTTCCGCAAAAGCGGAAAGAGGCGGTGGTCATCGGTATTCACAAGCCCGGGAAACCTCCATCTGAACCCTCCAGTTACCGTCCCATTTCCCTGCTTAACATTATGGGCAAACACTATGAGCGCATCCCCTATGCCCGCTTCAGAGACTACGTCTTGTCTCACAATCTCTTCCCCGACGAACAGTTTGGTTTTAGAGCTAGGCACTCATGCGTCCAGCAAGTGCACCGAATAGTGGAACATATCTCCGAAGGTTTTGATCGCCCCCCCTTCATGCCCACCGGCGCCCTCTTCTTCGATGTGGCAAAAGCTTTCTACAAAGTCTGGCACAACGGCTTACTTTACAAGCTGTACAATCTCGGCGTGTCTGATCGTCTCGTGACCACACGCCTAGGCGAGCGGTTTCGCAGATGGAGAATCGAAGTCAATCCCGATAAAAGCGCGGCAGTATTCTTCACGCGAAGCAACCTATCCAGTCGTAGGGTACAAAACCTCACCCCGATCTCGCTCTTTGACCGCCTAATCCCTTGAGTGAACACGGTCAAATACTTAGGAGTTACGCTCGATAGGAAGCTGTCATTCAAAGCAACGTGAAAACCGTCCGCGATCGCGCCCACTTTGTTATGAGCCGGCTCCATCCCCTTCTCAACAAGCATAGCAAACTCTCCCTTCGTAATAAGGTGAGATTGTACACGACCTGCATCCGCCCAATCATGACGTACGCCAGTGTCGCATTCGCTCAGGCAAATCCCGCGCTTATACATCGCCTGCAGGCTCTCCAAAATAGATTCATGCGCAACGCGACGGGTGCCCCGTGGTACCTGCGCAACGCTAACCTCCACATAGATTTACGGCTCCCCACAATAGCCCAATTCATGAAACAGGCATCGAGGAAATACTTCGACTCTGCTTCTTACCACCCCAACCCCCTCGTGGTGGCTGCATCAAGGTGGTCAAGGCCATCAGCGGAAACTGCAAAATATCCTTCAAAAAATAAAGATGCTTTTTCATTTCCATTATGGAATTCACCGCGTCGACTACTCCACGAAACATGTCGTCTTGCGCTATACAAACTTGTAAAAAAAATCTCTGCTGCATCCAGTCTAGGCAAGGGTGGAATTACATTCTATACATAAGCTAATTTTTTATTTTATGACATTTTTTTCACAATGATCACATTGATTCAATTTATCGATTACATACAAAAAATTCCCTTGATTCGCACTGGGCCTTTTGGAGGGGAAAAGTGTCGTTTTTATTTTGACTTTCAATTATTTTGTGAAATCTAGTTTAAAGTGGAATAGAATAGTGCTATTGTGCCTTAATCGAAGATTAAAACACGAAGTTATACGAATCTCGAACTAAAATACCCGTATCGGCCCGTTTTAAGGAATCACGAGTCAATCCAAGCACGCCGCCTCAAATTGCCTATCCTCTTTGAGGCTGCCATATTTACAGAAACATAATTAAACGAATACATGGCTCAAAGGACTTGTATCCAAGCCAAAATTATTTATTAATAATAAAAGACGTCCCTACCCTACCTAAATCAAAAATGTCCACCACAAATGGCGGATTTAGTGTTGTACCATAATCATAGATAAGTCAATATCGACATGCAAATGTATGGCTTGAATGTTGAAACTGTTGTTACTGTGTTATGTGTTTGCAAATTTGTATAGTTTTCTGTAATCAAAGTATTATTATTACTAGGCAAGTGATGAGCCATTTTAATCAAAATTAAATATAAAGTTATTTACCAATAAATGTAACGATGGAATTGCATTATCATGTAATTTAGGTACATTCAAAGTTCTATCAAAATTTGACTTCAAAATGGAGCGAACAAACGAAGATGGTATTATGTATTATGGATGATATCCAATGTTTATGTTCGGCAGTCTTATAATTTCCAACCATTCTTTCTTTCTTTTTTTATTTGTAGGTAAACTTTAAAAATAATAATAATTAAATAATAAAAATCTCGTAGTGAATCATTTTAATAACAGAATATCGATAATATGTCTGCTTACAAGAACAACACTATCTCATAATAATCGTTATCAACAATCATCAAAATATACTAACAAACAGGCAATCTAAGTAACCAAAGCAAAATTCGGCAAGACTTATGAATAAACTACTTAAATGAGTCTAATTACATGAGATATTTCGGCTATTGTATGATTTATAGGCAGAAAAACAACACATTGCATTTGTTGCGGTGTAATATAGCATTCGGTTGATTATCGCTTTTGCTACTATCGCACTCCTTAATGCTGCAGCGACGCATTTTTAACAATACTTAATTATTCTTACTGTCAATATTTTTGTCCATTTCATTACAATTCATGCGAATAATTCACTAAAACATTTGGCCAAACATTGGTTTTGACATTTGATGTACTTCCCTTTGACAACCGGATACGGGTACTTCAAAAATGGTAAAATGAGGACAGTGGCATTTAAGATGACGTTACGTATTTTCGATTCCCGTGTTTGACATAAATAAATAAAAAAAACGCAGTAGTTAAACCATGGCCGTACTAATTATAGCTCTATGAGTTAAACAAAGACAATAAGATGTTTATGTTTTCACCGTCTAAATTAAATCTAAATCTTATCATATACATATAACGTCTGATTTATATATGTCAATATAACATGTCCGTTGGTTTCCATAGTCTAAGGCAACTATAGACAAAAAATGAAGTACTTCATGGGCGCTGTTTTTTCGTTATAAAGAAGCGACCCGCTCTTTTAGCTTCTATTTTTATCAACAGGTTATGTAACGAAGTTTATTCAAATTGATTTCTCAGTCGTATTGTGTATTAAATAATAATGCAATAAATTGTAAATGATGAAAATAAATTGTAATTGTTTAATATAAATCATCATAAATCATGCTATACTGTAAGAAAAAAATAAAAATAAAAAGTACGTATACGAGTACATACATACAATACACATAAATTACAAAAGCAATAAGAATAACCAAATAGCTAACTGTCCTTATCCTACACAAGATATGCGCAAAAGACAGAAAGAGACCCGTCACGTCAATTTTCATTTTCGAACTACAAGCGATTTAAATATTTAGATTTAGAAGAAAGAAACTATAGACTTGATTTAATGTTAATCTTATTTTTAAAATTACTTTTTATTTAATGTTAGTAATAAATAACTAATCAAACATTATTGTATTCGTTTTGCTGTTTGGAGTTATCAATCAGAAGTCCGAAAATACATTTGCCAGAAGTAAAAATTCGAGCAAACATGAATTTTTGTAATCCCAAATGTACTTTTTTAGGTTATTTTAGGAATATTACAAAACAAACTAACTTAATCTTTTCTTTGTAATAAGCAACCAAATCCCCTGAATGCATAACGGTTTCGTTATAAATCAGTGTTCGAGATTATGAAACTTTGAGTTTACGTCTAGTTGGAATGTAGAAATTCGAAACATTCATACATTTCTTACATCACGTCATAACTACCAACAGTGAGCCATAGCTATTTTCACATTTACAATATTTGTATGTACCTATATATCTGCACAACTCATTACTTGAAGTGAATTCATATAAAATTCAAACAAAATACTATAAAAACATAATACTATAAAATTAATTAATATTGACATTAAAACTACTCCATCACTCTTGTGTTCAAGTAGTTTTCACTAGAAGCTAAATATGATGCATTTTGTTATTTCCAGTAGAAGCTGAATATGGATCATTTTTGGGCCTTTAAATTAAGCAATACTTTACAGTTTAAATTAAATGTGTTACTTTTTTAAATATTTCTATATATGTCACTACGTTTGTAGATTAACTCTGGCCATGCTTGTCATTGGCTACAACGCTGAACGCGAAAAGCCATAAACTGAAAAAAAAAAACTTCGGACATTTTTTCGCTGTTCTTGGATTAGACTTTAGGTTGTATTTATTGCCATCCATTTATTGATAAGTCAATGGGCAATCTTCTCTGGCAAATACAAGTAAAACAATAACACTGTTACACTACACACAAAATTGGAAAAAGAAACTCACTACATCCAGTCTAGCCAAGGGTGAATTACGTTTTTCATATAAAATCATTTACCAGTACCGTAACAGATATTGACACCGTCACGTCGATAACTTTCCGTCTCTAGTATATTCATAAGAATCGATTAATTTTTATAGGTCTATTCTGTGTACAGACATGACATGAATGTGTATTTTATGTGTATTGTAAAAATAAGCTAGTGTTATAGACTTCTGTTTGTGTGAGACCATAGTGATACAATTCAATTTTGTATTTGAGTTCACCTCTTTGCTTGTAGTACTACCCCTCCGCCTCTCAAAAAGTGGCAAAAAGTTTTGTTCGAAAAATAACGCTAATAGCGCCTCCCGTATTTTGATTGTGGAATTGTGATTGTTAATATAATATATATATTAACAATCACAATTCCATTTTTTTCCTATAATCTTGTCAACTCTGCCAACATCAATATAATGTAACAAAACAAATGTAATGGCTCATATTATCATAAGCTGAAAAGTTCCAAAGCCCTAAAAACTATTTACAAAAGTTACATTAACATTTGCTCCAACGCTTTTGTTCTGTAACTTTTGACAGGTGTCAACGTCGAATGTAGAAATTGCAAGGTTTCTCAACTGTTTGATACCGATAATTTTTACATTATTTCACAAAAAATTTGGTTAGTGGAACATTTGACACTGGCGGATTCCTAAAAGGGCACCGCCCGTAATTAAAAAGAAGAAGAATTACAAGAAAAATATTGGCAAAAATCCGAAAAAATATTTATTTTTCTGAAAAATATCATTTTTTTCAAAAGGAAATTTTTCCCTGGCTCAATACTTTTCCTTTTTATTTCATTTTCTTCACATTTCATTTAATTTCTTTTTCATCAGTCATTTTTTGTCTATCATATTCTATGTCTATAATCCATCGATCAAACTATCGACAACGACTACATAACTATATAAAATTTTATAAAAGCTGGCAACCCTACGTATGTCATTTTACCTTTGCATTTTACGCCTTCTTTTTAATTTTATTAAATAACATTGTTCCGGGAACGAACGTGAAATATAATTTATCTAATATCGTATAATATAACAATAGTAATAATATAGGCTCTAAGTTCATTGGAAGGACGGGAGTTAATCGAAAAGGAAATTCACTTTATTTATAAAATAAGCGCAATACTTAACATTACAAATAAACTTTGAAGTTATACATGCCTATTTTAGTTTAAAAATAAGCAATAAAGTAGATAATTTAATATCAAAATGCAACCAGAACTACATGTAGATCCTATAATTTACAATCACCATTTTCCTCGCTTTGATAAGCCAAATGTGATTGGTTTTATTGGTTTAGAAAACCTAAAATTTGCTAAGAATGTAAGTAATCGAAAAGTGAGATTTGACTTAAATCAACACTTAGATAAGGCTAAAAAGAAACCTCCAGATTTGGATGTTAAATTAAATGATCTTCTAAAGTTTTTGCTTGAAAATGAGATACGACTCAATTTCTGTTTAGAAAATGACTTAGAAAAAGTCAAATTCTTTTGTTACCGTGGACTTATGACGTGTATTGCTTGCACTCCGTATGAAAACCAGGAACCATGGAAAATAGTAGCTGTTTTACATAAAGGCAGCATTTATCTATGTGCCAGAGACACAGAAGATAAAATCAAAAGAAAAGTAAATATGACTGAACAGGAAAAGCGTTTCACATCTTGGGGGTATAAATTTGAACAGTACTTGCTCTCTGGTAAGTCTAAGTTGACAGAACAATTATTTTTATACTATAATGTAATAGTTACATAATGAGACTTATACATGTTTACATATTATAACTATGCAATATTGACTACAACCTTATGGAAGAATTCGTGAGGTGCACTGGTTTGTTACATGGCTTAGTTGGCATAGTGTCTGGCACGGTTTGCTGGGAGACTGGTTTGAATCTGGCTGGATTGAAATAATTTTATCTAAGGGTCGTATTCTAGAACTCTACTCAATGCTCAAGTCAGGATTTGAGTATGGTTTAAAGCACTTGAAATCATACTTAACTCCCTGCCATTAGGGTCGTATTTCCAGTGCTTGTGCTTCAATTGCAATCCTGACTTGAGCATTGAGTAGAGTTCTAGAATACGACCCTAAGTGTCTCTGATCTTTGTATTAATAAAAGTAGTGGAGTAATTTCACAAAAAATAATTGAATATCATGGTGGTTAAACATTCTGACATTCAATAAAAATTTATATGCAATATCTTTTTATAGCCTTATGACTATGATAAACAGTTAAGTTGGATTAGTCTTGAAGAACTTAAATTTTAAAATATGTGATAATTGAGGAGCGTGAGAACAAAAACTGTAAAAGTTATGTGACAGATTTTTTTACATTTCTATGAATAATTTATCTAACCAGAAATATGTTTCAAATACACGGATCTGAACACAATGTGACAAAGCCATTCAATGACACTAGACATAATTAGAAACTAAATTATTGGATTTGTTGTGTTGGAATTATTGGAATTATTGGATGTGTTTACATATTATTTAGTTCCAAAGTTCCTTAGTTAGATGCAAAATTAATTAATTGTTGCAAAAATTTGTCCTACACACCGTAAAATATTTTTGTTCTATTGAAATTTGTTTCTTGTTCTATTTCAGACACCCCAGATGGTGAACCCAATCCCGATGTACCAGTAAATGAAATGGAAGAATTTTCCATAGTATTTACAACACTCCTAAATCAGCACTCTATCGTTTATGGAGCTGAAATGGATGGAATCCGTTGTGATAGACACTCTGTACCTACACCTCCTACAACTGAGCAGGGTCCAGAAATTGTTGTTAAATATTTGTCTAATAAAGAGTTTATAGAACTAAAAACTAACAGACATATTGAGTTTCCACGACAAGAAACAAGTTTTAGGTAGATTTGTATTTTATTGTGTTATTATTTTCTTGTTGTATTTGTAGGATAGACGGATTTGAACTTTGTAAAGAATTTTTATACATTGTTTTTTTAAAACATTGATTGCATTTTAGTTGCAATGGTCATATACAGGGTTGTATATTTTTAATGGTAGAAGTGTCACATTTATTTCACATTCATTATGGGGCATATATCTCGTTGTGGCCGCTTTAATTCAGTAAATTTATTTTCCATAATATGGCAACAAGGGCAGTGGCAGCCCAGTGGCAATGTAATACATGGTCCAAGATGATTTTGGTAAAAAAGAAATTAAATTTCCTTATAAATTAAAATTTGTTTAAAAGTGTTAGAGATACCAGAGTTCTAGGACAGTACAGTATTAAAATCGTTAGGGACCCTGTGTGTCTCTAAATTGTAAGTGGAAGTCACGCTTTAAAGTTTTAAAGTTTTAGGTTAAAGTGACAGTTCAAATTTCATTTCAAAATTACGTGCACTGTGAGACTTTGAAGAAGAAAAACATGATGAAACCTGTGACCCCCAATGCGATATATAATGTTGATGATGAATGTTTAAATAATAATTGCAGAAGGTTCAAAACGAAGAAGTGGTGGTGCCAGTCATTCCTAGTTGGAATAGACACTATACTTTGCGGATTCCGAAATGACGATGGCATTGTTGAAGAACTGAAAATATTTCCAGTGAAAAGCTTGGCTAAAATGTCACAGGTGTGATCATGGTTCCATTGTATTGTTATTAGAACTTGTATTTGTAAAATTATTTTATAGAAGAGAAAAGAATTTCCTATTTCTGCCGCCAAGCAGTAATGCAAGCAGGACTGCTTACTAATTTTGAAGGGGAAGGGTGCTGATGAAATTACAGGCGCGTGGGACTTGTCAATTTATGTCTCAGGGTGACGGGCGCAATGCAGTCCCTCTCTTTCTTTCTTTCTTTCTTTGCGAGTTAAAGCTTTTTGCGTGACTGCAACTTGTCGCTTGCCAGTAGGCGCACGACATGTTCGTTCCATAACTTAGTACCTATCATAAAAAAAAGCCAAATAACTTACCAAAATTATAAAGCTAATGCTATCAAGAGAGAGCAGAGGGATTGCAATTACCGATTTTATTATTAATAGTAGACAATAAAGAAACGGAATGTTTAGGTCTTTTGTTTGGTCATTGTTTTAAGATTTGTTTTGTTTACAGAAATTTTGGAACCCCAATGTGATGTTCAATTTCCTGGAAACATTTCTGACTTACGTAAAGAGGTGTTTCGCCAGATTAATTAAAAATAATCATGGAATGGCAGCATTGAAAAACGTGCAATCTTTACCTCTCATGGCTTTGCATTTCGAATGGACACCACATAAGCCTATAATAGTGACAGATGACTACATATATGAAGATGATCCTATACTACCTCAATGGTTTATTGACGGTTATGGTAAAAATATAGGTAGCTAGATATAATTAATGTATAAGAGATAAATACTTTAAAAAAATTATATATTTTTTTAGGGTTTTTTTAATAAACAAATGTTTTTTAATGAAATCCTTGTTTACTTATAGGTAAGGTAGAATTCCGCGGAAGATTTTGGCTCTTATCTAGTTTGTATGTTACACTATTGACCATAAAGTTCATTATACTATGTACAACATCGTTACAAAAATTCGCTTCCATTCCGTTCCGCTGCAATATAAATTGCGCCTTAGCGGACGTTTAAAATTGAAAAAAAAAAAAAAATCACATAAGTAGGTACGTAAAAAACTTTCTAGTCATTCCACGAAAGCCGCCTTTAAAATGTTAAAAATTATTTTAATCGCCACGAATACGATATTTTCAGTGATCTCACAACGAACATGTGCTGGAATGATGATCTTCGTTAAATACACATTCTTCATTATATGTACGATTTTTCTATGTAAATATACGTATCAACGAAAATAATTGAATATCCCTTAGAGGATGGAAAAAAATAAAAGAAGAATATCCAATATCTTATAAACAAAGTAGCGACTAATTCTAAAATTATGCGACTAGAACTAGAACCGACTAATTCACGACTTTCTGGGTGAAATCAGATCTAACATAGGAGCTGTGTGTTCTCGAGATTCAAAAATGGTGCCGCCGTAATAAGCTTATTACAGCGTGGGCAGTAAAACACCTTAATAACTTCAAAACGGCGTAACGACTAAATCTAGTTTTTTACGACTAGAACCGTCTAAATCACGACTTTATTTTAGTGTAATCAGATCTAAGCTAGGTGTTATGGTTCTCGAGATTGAGAAATGGTGCCGCTGAAATAAGCTTATCCCAGCATGGACAGTAAAACACCGTTATAACTTTTGAACGACGGACCGACTAAATCTAGTTTTTTGCGACTAGATCCGACTAAATAGCGACTTTTTTTCTGGCTAGTCAAATTTCAAAAACTCGACCATGGTCACGCTAGAATAAGGCACTTGAACTTTGGACAGTTCTTATCCTAAGCGGCATAGAGTTGGACTTAATCTTAAGTGTCAAGCTTGACGTGCCCTTGAACCTGTACGAACTACGTTATGACAAAGTTCATTATACCATAGTAGGTCAATGATGCCATGATTATAATTTGCTTCCATTCCGTTCCGCAGCAATATAAATTCTAGAGATGAAACGGATATCCGGTACCCGACCTGTCCGGATTAATTTTAATATCCGGCCCTATACCGGATATTTAAAACAGAAAAATTCGCAAGCAATATGCCAAACAAATTGATTTATTGATTAAAGAGAATAATAGGATAAATGATCGTTGACATCTGTAAATTACTTATAACTGGAAAGAACTATGAAGTTAGATAACCTAATCTGTTTTAGTACGCAAATTTGAATAAAGGCAAAGTTTGGTGGATGAAGACCAGTATTTCTGCAATAAGTGGTAAAACTCGGTTTCCTTTATTTTCATAGATAAGACCAGATTCAGAGGACAGCTTTTCGCTGTAACCTCTTGCAAACTTTGTTAAATTTAAGTGCAGCTGACCACCATTTGGTGGTCTGGTAATATCCTTTCATTTGAAAAGGTCGCGATCACGGTCGGTTCGAACTGTCTTCAAATAATAATAGATTTAAAATAATTACTTATATTTTCGTATCAACAATGTTTAACAATAATAATAAAACGTGTAAGTAAATAGGAAATGAAACTATTTTTCCGGATTTAAATCGCGTATATTTGTTTTTTCAAACAAACATCATCATTATAGAATTTTGAAAAAACAAATATTTTTTTAGAAAAAAAAAATCGGTTTAACTAATAATGGAAGAAATTAAATTTTTATTGAATTGATATTCAATTATTTTTTGTGATATTA